ACGGACATTTTTGGTTCATCAGTAACACAGACTCACATGCAAGGCTTGCTGACCAAGCAGCGTGCTGCCTTCCTGGGACAGCAGTAGCAAGGAAAATGTTGGATTACACATAATGAGACTATTGGAAAAGAGCCACAAACTTGTGATGCAGGAAAGGAAAAGCAAAAGTGGCAATAAGAATGGAAAGCAATTTCTTATTACAGGGACTCTCTCATTACAGTGACTGTCTTCTCTTAAAGTCCGTGAGAAAGAGAAATCTGTGTTCGTTTTCAGCTGCCCCAAATGGCTCTGCAGACCAGATGATCTCACCAGGTCATTTTATGATGAGGTGATGATCTGTGGTCTGTCCTCAAGGTACATTTATGCATTCATGTTTCCTTCAGCAGAGTTGTGACTATATAAACTGAGGCCTGAAATCAGTCCATCTGAAACCAGTCAAAGCAGAAGAAACTTGTTCCCCCTTTGGGCATGATGTTAAATAGACCTGTCATCCTGATGCTTATGCTGGTGCTCTACGAGAAAAATGTTCCTCCACCTCATGGCTAATGCCTGCCTATATATTTATAAATGCCCTTTGGCTTGGGCAAATTAAATGTTCAGAGTCCAAACCTAATAAAAGCCCACATGTCACTGATACAGTAAAAAAAAAACCCAAAGCAACCCACCTGTTATTATCACAATATTTCTTGCTGTAAGTCTGTTACATCAGGATGTGGTCTTCCTCGTATTTTTTCTCAGTTTTGTTTACATGACGTGATTTATACGTAACTAGGTTGCTACAAAAATCACAGGAGATGTAAACCATTCTAATGCTAGCACGCCTTCTTTACTGTCACAAGCTACCAGTAACATACCTGAGAAACACTGATAATTAAAGTGCACAGGAAATTCATTTTCTATGAGAATCTTAAATCAACCAGGATGCTGCTGACACCTTTCACAGCCTTTTCTGTGGCTGTGTATGTTGATGTGGATCTAGAACACCTACTGTCTTGTTTGTCTGTGACCGTGCTCTAATTTTGGTATTATTAGTAATATATACAGTCCTGGCACAAAACACACACAAGTTGAAAGATACACACCTTTTGTAAATTATAAACACTCCTAGCTAAAGTGATTTTATGATTAGTTGTGTTATTCTGTTTTATATCTCAGTGTGGTGAAAGCTGGAGAAGCTTCAAGGAAATCTATTTGAATAGATAGAGCTTACACTACTGTAAATACAGAAATACTGGATTTTGTGCACTCCAGAGGACGCTGCTGTTGTAAAATACAGTGGGAAAGTGTGCAGAGCACTTACAAGGTGTCCTTGCTCACTTAAGCTAGCCTAGCCTTTGGTTATATGCTAAGCTGCTGTATAAAACATGGATACTGATTTGGTTTCAGGGTTGTCCTGCCTTCAGTGCAGTCTCTTGCAGCGGTCCACAGCAGATGAATTACTCAGAGTGGTGGGGGATGCTCTGCTCATTCCGACACTGAAACCTCCCTCATAAGAAAGAGAGCATTGTTTCCCAGGGGAGACTCTCCACCATCCAGCTGGGCTCACCTGAGCCAAAAGGGCTGGTATTGCTCTTCCTTCTCCATTCCCCTCGCACACTGATGTCCCCACACTCATCATCACATGCCTACACACACCACACACACGATGCCTACACAGGCTACACAGACCACAGCTCCCGTCCTATCTCTGCACTAGCTCTGCTTCTCACCTCACTCGAAGTCAGGCTCTGGCTCAGGGAGAGCATTTTCAAGAGCATTGCCAGGAACAAGAGTGAGAATTTGATGGAAGAGCTGAGTGTTTTGTATTTTTCACCTGGCTCCAACTTGCAGCATCATCCTCCCACCTGAGAGGAACCCAAAAGTTTTTAAGTCCATTGAAGTGGAAAGATATTCTCAGAATATCTCAGTGAATACTCTCAGAAAGATTTCTCCCAGACTCTTTTCTTTTAATTAGTAAAGCAAGAGGACTGTTTTCTTTTAATTGTTCAGAATGAAGGAGAGACCTGCAGAGGCGTTGCGTGGGGATATCTTCCTGATTATAGATAAACCCTATCAATGTGTCTGTCAGAAAGGCTACACTAAGCAGTCCACCAGACATGATTTATATCTGAGATTTCTATGTGTCAAACCCCACATTACCCATATTGCATGTGTGTGTTTCTTCCCAGTAAGGGAGGGCTTCTGACATCCTCCGCATTGTGTTTCTTTTCTTGCTAAAATTATTTGAAGCAATTTAAGCAGAGCTGGTATGACTTAATTTTTATTTTTTAATAGCCCTCAGAATTTGTAACCTGTTGTTATTCTTCTTGGTACTGTGTGCACAGGAACATGATTTGGCCTTTTCTTAGCCATGCAGTCTTAGATGGCTCCACCATCGCAGTGAGGGTAGAACCCTGGTTTTGGAAGATGCCTGCACAGGATAGGGTCATGCTGTAGCACAACCTTTCCCCAAAGAAACACAACAGATATGCAGGAAGAGGCATTATGGTAACACCCACAGATAACATAGGTTATCAACACCCAGCAGCAATGACATTTAAGATCACTGTGACTATTTCTTCTGAATGACATGGTGTTCCCTGGGCTGGTTCTTTTTTCATATCCCTAGATGCATGACTGTGCATCTGGAGTTGCCCTGCTCCATACTCTCCTGGATCAAAATGCACCAGACAAGCATGTCAAATACAAACCCTCCCTGCCACCACAGCAAGTCAGGACAGCCTGAAAGCTGCCTTCAGTTAAACTGACATTTTCAGCTAGGGACTTGTTGCTCCTCAAAACAGGGACTCTTCTACAGTTTAGTGTCAGCTTACCTTCTACCTGCTAGGTCAAATCAAGCTCAGTGATGATCATAGCAGGATCAGCTCAAAGGAGAACAGCCTCCCTGCCCCTCCATAACGTTGCCTTAAGTGCATGTACATATACCAGGTTTTTTATTCACAGCATCACACTTGAGTTCAGCTGCTTATTCCCTGTGGTTCCCACTGAATTTTTACTTGGACATTTTCCTATGGACTCCCTGCACTGTGATCACTAGAACTTAGCCCCTGCATGACTGTAGAAGTCAAGGGCTGGTGGGAATCCATTTCTGTCTCTGCAAACAAGCTATAGAGCAGGGCTGATCAGTTGAGTCCTGTAGGAAATGGCCTGCCTGTGAAATCACAACAAACTGATGGATTACTGTAATTTGAGTCATCTCCCAGCTGTATAGTTTGTGTAGGCTTATCAGTGAAGCTGCTAAAAAGCAACATTCCTCTTCTAGGCATTGTTTGATGCCTTTTTCAACAAAACTCATCACCTTTCTGCCCCTTTACATCCTCCTTCAATACTGTCTTCCTCAACAGCAACAATTTGTTTGTATCTCAGAAAGATAAGCAAAATACTGCATATTCTTCCTGATTCAATTTTTCCTCAGAGGAAGGAGAGAACTGCAGCTGATGTGTCCACATCTGTGCTCTGGAGAATGAGCAAGAACTTCAGACTTAAATGAAGCAAGTTAGAAAAGTCAAGCTGTTGAATATAACCCAGTGTAATACATCAGGATGTTATTTAGTACACAAATACTAGTTTATGGTGGTGGGAAAGCACACAAACCATAAATCATGATAAAATCTGCTTCATTGTGCTTGACTGAAAATCCAAGATGCTGAGATTGATTTATTTCATTACATTGAGAACATTTCAATGAAGGTTTCATTTTTGTTTTGTTTAAAAAAAAAAAAAAAAAATTTCCATGAAAACTTTCTGTTTCAGTGAAACTTCAGTCAGGAAGACCCTTAATTCTGGAAAGGTCTTTGTGGGCAAACAAGAAAGAGTTTCCACTGTCAAATAACTCACATATCTGTGGGTTAGTGCACATTGCACACAAAAACACAAAACAAAAAAGATCCTTTGTTTGAATCCATTTTGAACTTTCTGTTTGAAATCTTGGAAAATGTTTTAGGTTCCACAGAAGACAAGCAATTCACACTTTAGACTTCACTTCAAACCCCAGGGAAGAGGCATCAATCTCTTTCCTTTGTGTCTTGTTGCAATAGTGAGAGACCTCATGTAAAAACCCCTGCCTCATTTTTAAACTTTCCTTGTTGGTTTAAGTTAGTTAAATTAGAGCCATTTGTTTCTGTTAAGCCTTGCTCTCCTAAAGTTTTGTGTTTTCTTTCAGTCAAGGTACTTAGGCAGTGCAATGCTCTCATGTCTTCCTTTTATTCCTGTGATGCTAGAAGACATGCTCTCTTTGCCTTATTTCAGGTATTTTTTCCAGTTCCTCAAAATTTCTCTGGCTCCCCTCTCTCTGTGGTTTTTAACAGTCTTTTTCAAATGAGCCATGTGTATCAGATGCCAGACTGGCTTACTGGGGCCCTCAGCTCTTGGCCCTAGATGCTCCTAACTAGCTAACTCCTTCCCTGGCCATGGTCTGTACGTTGTTCCTTTTTGGATGTCCTTTCATGTGGCTGGGCCAAAGCAAATCAAAGACTACAATGAGACCTTTCAACAAAATTGTTATTAATATGTATTACAGCAGTGCCCAGAGTTGCCAGTTGAGATGAAGACTGTATGTGCTGTCTAGCTAGACATTGTCTTCGTCCTGAAGCTGAGACAATCCTTGGGTAAAAGTCTGCCACACTCCCCTGAAGTATCTTGTTGCTCAAAATCACCAGCCCCATTGAATTCAGTGGCACCATCCGCACATCAAAGTACTCTTTTCATGAATGACAGCAGCAGCAAACAGCCACAGCAATCTGGTTAAGTTTAGAATAACCCTATTCCCTGGATATATGGTATTTCTTGTATTCATTGTTAAAGATGAGGTGAAGGAGAAATAACACAAAATCTGTGGAGCTGCTTGCAAATCCTTTGTGAGAATTCTACTTCTTCTACAATGGAAGTAAGAGACATTTTAAAATTAGGATTTTGGAATGCTGATTCACTAAACTGGTAGACAAGGGCATACGCATTTGTGGCTAGTGAGAATTCAAATGATTCAATAGATAATGCATAAATTAACTGACTTTAAACTTTACTGGAAGACTAGTAAATAAGAATGGGATGTGGCTATTCTGCTTCAGCTTTACTCCATTATTAATAAATTCTGGCTATTACTGGGGATGTATCACTGTGCAGGGCCTTGCTGACCTATCAACCCCTTTAGAGTTTAATTAATGAAGATAAATTACTGTATATAAGTCTTTCACATCCAGTAGTAAATTGCACTTGAGCATGAATAAATGATGGATTTTTTTCTCATCAGCGATACACCTTCCTCAACAGGGCAAGCCCTTGGTCCATGGTCCCAGGCTGGGCCTTCCAAGCACTTCTGATCTGCTTCAAAAATGTGGGTGGAGGCACACGGGCCTGGGAGCCAACTTGCAAAATGAGAGAAAGATCATGGAGCATCCCGTGTGATGTTCTAGTGTTGTAGTTCCATTGTCTCCACATTAAGTCATATTTGAAATGGGTGGATAATACTGAGGATAAATGAACCATTAAGTTTAATTTACTCTCATTTTCAGAAGGGGTTGAGGGCTTCTGTGAACACTGCAGAATTCCAAAGTTCTTATTAACCCAGAGTTTTATAAAATTAATTTATTGTGAAATATAGACAGAATAATAAAGAAAGATCAGCAGTGTTTGTCTGTTTTAAGACTCTGGTAAATTAAGTCTTCTTCTTGCAGACTTGCTCAGCTGCAGATAAGGTTGGAACATCCAGATTTCTTAGCCTAACAAAAAATAAATCAGTTACTTCATGCTTTGTCTTTTTCTTTTTTAAATTTGTAAAAGGCTCAATTATGAGAGAGTTTTTTTGGAACTACAGTGTCAAGTGGAAATCATCTTGATTCTTTACCAGATTAAATGGACTCACTGTGTGCTTTGGGGATTAATTCAGAGAAGATAGAAGCCGAGGATTCGAAAGCAGCTACTAACCTGGAGTGAGAACCACAATGGCCCTCAGGTGCTCTGATCTTCGGCGCTTCAACATCTTGTCTATAGGACCCTAGGCTTTCGAGAAGAAAGCAGAGTCCTGAACTTGGAGCCAAATCTCTCTCCAACAGGACTAAACCAGAGGGTTCAGACCCACATCTCCCCACCCACCTGATAGGAAGACCCTGCTTTGCCCTGTGAAGCTGTACTGCTCTGCAGCAAAGACTAAAGGCTTGAAGGGGACAACAAAAGAGGGAATACAAAAGTAGCTGTGGTCCAGGGATTAAGGGACTCACCCAGAAGGGAAGAAAACCAATTAAATCCCTACTTTAAGGGCTGTTTATGCAGATGAATGCAAAGCAGGCAAGCTGCTTCTGGAACAAGGACTGGCATGAAAGTAGCACTCTTCATTCAGGCATTCAGCTCTGATGGATTTGGGGAGTGAGGGTCCTGGAAGGGAGGTCCCTTCAGTAATGCTGGGCATTATGAGGTCTCTCTGCTGATGGACAGTCTGTCACAATTTCAGCACTGACTGCAATAGTAACAAGCTTTAAGCGTAAGGATTTTGAAATATTTTAGGATGAAAGCTGCTGCGCACAGTCAAACCACTGTGCAACAAGGCATCACTTTAATCCATTAGCTCTCCATTATGGGCTAAGTATGTTTCTTAATTACTGAGGCTGACTTTGGAGAGTGGCTTAACCACATGATTATCACTAACATGACTGAAAAGTTTATTGTTGCATCCTAGACTTTGCCTAATACCTTAATTTCACCCTTAGAGCTGTGCCTGCAGGCAACAGTCGAATGAGATCCATTTAAGGAAAAATGTGTTTAGCATCAGCATTCAGGATTTAGTGCACAGAGCTTGATCCTCTCTTTATTTGCAATTCCCTGTTCAGTCATTTCTCTTGTACACTGTGAGTGCATCTTGTGCTCTGAAAAGGCCAGGCTGAGGGATAACATGTGGTGCAATTACAGCAGAGCTGCTCTTCCTGAAGTTAAGGAATGTGAACTCAAGGCTTCCCAGGCCTGTCCAGTTTTTTAAAATCAGTTGCGTCAAGCACAGAACAGGAGGAAAGGAACAGACAGGGTTTTACAGCCTCAGCTTTAAAGCCTCTTTCTCCTCCCTTGGGCTGCTCCCAGTGTCACCAGTGAACAAGCTACAATCTCAGCTCCCCGATGATTTGTGTTCAGAGGCAGGGAGCTGACACATCCCTGCCTCCCTGCAACCCCTATCAAGGGCAACAGCTGAGAATACAGGGAATGCAGTAGCTCAGGTCACCTTTCTCTCACCCTCCCCTTCAAAATACTCCTCTTCCAGAAAGGAAAGCAACAGCTTGCTCTGACAGCACTGCACCATTCAGCAAATCTCCTCAAATTCACAATAATCAAGGTTGTGTGGGAAGAGTTTACAGGCATCAGTGTAGAGCAGGCAGTTGAGCCCTTAGAAGCTGAGGGTCTTGGTCAGGAAAACCATCTCTGCCAGTGCGAAACTGGTTAAAAATGTTGCTTCTGTCTCTATTTCAAGCCCTTTCTTCCCACTCACATGCTGCAGCTCATGCTCCCCTCAGTTGTGCCAGGGCAGCTGCTTTGAGGACTGTGCTGCAAACAGGATCAGCTCAATGACCACGGTTTAAAAATAGACCTTTTTCTTTTCTTTTTTTTTTTTTAGTTATTCTTTAACTCAAATTATGTCAATAATCTGCTCTTCACTCCAGCAACACAAGCTGTTTTGTTGCTTAATGGAGGAGGCAGACAGACGTGGTGTTGGGAAGGGAAACTGTGGCTAAGGAACTGTTTCATGGCAATACAGCCCTGCTCTCTCACCACGTTCCTGTAGTACAACCTGGATACTCCAATGTGTACAGGACTCTTTGGCCAATAATACTGAGCTATACACTGCTTGGTCAGGCAGCAGGATAAATTTATGCCCAGTGAAACATGGATACACTATTGCATGTCTGCTGAATGGACTGTGTCATCTTTCAATATTCATGCTGACCTTATCTTATGTGAAGCAAAGCAATACCTTTCCCCATGTAAAGACCCCAAGGACGAAGTTCCCTTATACACATTCCCACTTGTCTGGGAAGGAGTTCAATAAGCAGAATTAAGCACCTAATTCAAGCCTAGTGTTTTTGAAGGAGACACTACTGGAAGAGCCATGGCTATTCAGCACCGGTGGCTTCTGTTTTGGTGTATCTATAAGAGGGGGGAGTACCCCAGGCTTGAATGTGCTGGTCTTAAGCTCAAGTGCCTGAGCGTCAGGCCCAGAGGTGGTAGCAAGATACTTTGCTGTATCCGTGGCAGCCTACATAATGGTGAGAAGGAGGAGGAGAAGGAGGAGGAGAAGCAGCAGCTCCCACCTGGACCTCCTCTATGTAAATACCATGCTCAGAAGTACTAAAACAGGACTGCTCTCAGATGCTGGGACACAGACAGGAAGAGCAGGGAGAGGCAGGACCTGCCTGACTACTGAAAGAAGAAAACAGTTCATTTAGATCACAACTCGAAGGAAATGGTCTGGGGCCCAGCGTATGCATTAGTTGAATAGTGTGTGGTGCAGAAAGCATTGGTGGAGATGATAGCTTGCATATGAAAACAAGCCTGAACTACAAGAAGTATTTAGCTGCTAGTCTTAATACTGGAAGTCCTCAGCCATTGTGCACTCCTGGGTGACTTACCTGGTTCAAGGAGTAACTGCATTTGACTGCGTGCATCAACAGTTCAGGTCCAATCAGTTTTACTGGATTAGAGGTGCAACACTTTAAAATGTAGCTCTTCTTGGATCTGGAAGACATACAGCTGATTTCGTGTAAAGCTGAGCTTGATAAACCATGCTGCACTGAGGCTAGCTCTGCAAGAAATGAGCTTGGGCATCTTGGTGCAAGGCGATGGAGAGCATGCTCAGTCAAGGTTACAAACCTCAGTGAATTGCATGGACCTGCTGCTCCTGCTCTCCCCAGCTCCTACACAATCAGAGACTTCTCACTGCTCAGCTTCAGCTGTGACAACCAGGCCAAACGCACCTCAGTTTACATTTCTCACAAAACTTGTCATTTCCACAGATACCAGCAGAACCATTCAAAGGTTACTCACTAGAAGGACACATGAACATGTAAATAAATGTACTATATGCACACATACACCACCCCATGGAACACAGGATGGTTTTGGATTTCTCAGTGGTGGAAACATGTGTAACTCACGGCAATGAAGTTAAACTAAAGAAAGAGAAATTTACATTAAATAACAGCAAAATATGCTGGATTATGTACTATCCTGCATAATAACCTGCGTTTCTAATATTCAACAAAAATTGGACTAAATAATCAAAACAAAGCATAGAGAATATTTTTGCTCAGATGAGACAGGCAGAGAGATAACCTTACTGGTCTTCATCCCTTTCTACTTTCCATGAATCTGAGAATGATTAATGGTTTATTTCCCACAGAACATGTAAAAAAAAAAGTACTTTTTTACCACTCATAACTGAGCTTATTAAATACTTCACTGGACTCAGATAACTCTGTTCATACGAACAAGGCAACAAACATTATCCAAAGGATGGCCACTTTCTGATTTGCCTGAAAACATCACTGTAGCCAAGACCCTTGCATCTGAGTCTGAGCCAAGTTGAATTCATAAGGTGGATTTACAGCACAGCCTGCTTCACACATATTTTATAGGGATTTTAACTATTTTGACTCAAGGCACATTTTACCCTGAGGAGGTTAAATGACACTGCCCTGGGCCAGATGTCCTACTGGAACTTGTGGTTACCTTAAGGTAACCACAGTACCATCCAAACCAAGCAAGGGCCTGAGACCTCGTGTTTAAGCAGCCCTTAAATGATTACTGACCCAAAGCCAAACTTTCTCTGCCTTTTTTTTTCAGCTGAGGGGCCTGAGCTTGGTTGCTTTGCCCCGTTGAGCAGGACAGCAGCATTAACACCAACATTAGCACATACCCCCGGGCACTTCATTTAAGCAGGAAGGGAACTTGTTAAAATGAATGTCTACTCTTCAACTAGTCAGACAACATCCTCAGCCACCTACACCTCCCTAGTTATCTCACTCTGTTTTTAAAAATGGGGAAACCTTCCTCAAAAGGACACAAGAGTTTGATTCTTACATTGCAGAAAGGGGATGTGATGAGCGTTTCCTACCAGCTATTCTTTCCTTGGGCCTTCCCTGCACACAACCATTCCAGATATTGCTTCTGAGGTACCTGTTATCATCCATTAACAGGAAAAGAGAGCCTGTAAGTCTAAATAAGGAGTTCCAGATCTTCCTGCTGGAGCCAGGTGCATTATTTTTAAGCCTCTAGTTTAATGCAAGCACCAGATTTGGACGATCTGAATGCTGCTTTTGTCCTTATAACGCCCCATAAAGCTCTCCTTATTTGACATTACAAATGTCAAATCTCCTTATTACACCACTGTCAGCTCAGAAAAGTATTTATCCCTATGGATATTCTCCATCTGAATTCTTCTTAAACTTTTGCCTCCTGAAATTCAGTATTGCTAAGGCTGACATCATGATGTAGTTTAACATACTTGCGACTGAAACAAAGTGTCTAGGTAGGATGTAGATTAAGTCTAAATTTGGAGGGAGTAACATTTTCTTCAAACATCCCAGTTTCATATGTGAATGACAGTTTTAACTGGGAACTGGCAATGATTCCAGCAAACTATGCCAGAGCAGCTGAGGTACGAGAAACAGGTGACCTCATTTCTCTCCTGCCTGCCAGTAATATCAGCACAATGGCTCATTATTCCTCTGCTTACTCATGGGCTTTTGGATATTCACCCTTGCATTGGCTTCTGCATGTTCACCCTTGCAATATCAGGCCATAACAGTGCTGAGTCCTGATCTCTGTACCTCATCCTCTGACATAAAGTGGAAAAAGGCTATTAGCTGGCCTTTATAAAGCACAGTATGAGACTCCCTTATCTTGCGGATGTCAGTACTCAGATTCAAAACTTCTGAAGGCGAATGGCTTTGTACAGATCTTTGCCTATAATGAAATAACCCAAACTGGCAAGAGACATCGCGGTCTACGTGAGCAGCTGGTAGAACTGAGGTTTGGCAAACATATTCCTCTTTCTCACCGGTCAGAAACAATCTCAGTGATGGTTTGAAGTAACGCGAGGGCCACCGCGGGAGACTGAGGACAGGCTGCTTCGCTGGACGTGTGGGAGCGTCGCCAACCCCGGCACCTCCGCACGCTTTCACCGCTCGGGCTCCCGAGGGAAGGACCTGCCCCAGGACGCCGGAGCTGATGGATTCGCGCGGCAGCTGGGACTGCTCTGGACACCGAAGCTCTTCGCTGCAGAGCACCCCCCCTCCGCGCCGGCCCAGGGCCGGGCTCTGCCTCCCTCTGCCGGGCTCTGCCCCGCTGCAAGCGCGGCCGGCCGAGGAGGCGTCTCTTCCGTGACGTTGTAAGTACGTCACGGCGCGTGTCTTCAGGGGTTCCCCTCCAGGCGCGCGATGAGGGGCGGGTGGCGGTCACGCGGCGGGTGTGCGCGCTCTGGGTGTCCTAACAGCACCTCCGGGACGCAGTGAACACTTGGGGGGCCGCCATAGGCACCGCGCAGCAGCACGAGCTGGGGCGGTTTCAATGGCCCCGGTCATTGCACTGCCTCTGACGCTTGTGTAACCAATGGGGGCAGAGATCCCACCAAACGTGGGTTGCTCACCCATGTACTCACCAGCCTACAAGATACCGAACCAGGAACCATCAGGACCTCAATTCCAGCAGCCTCTCTAGGGAAAATGAATATACAATGTCCACTTTAGAAAAAGCAAAGAACAGTATTTTTGACGATGAAAACAAAACGCAATGTATGAAATATATTACAATAAATAAAATGTTGTATCGGTATCAGACGGCAGTATTTGCAGACTCTGCTTGTGCTGCTGGAATTGAAAGCGTATGTTATTAATGAGCTACAAGTCAGGATGTCTGTATGAGGATTCCTCCTTAGACGTTTCCCCTTTCTCAACCTTGAAATTCCAATCTGGGGAAGTCCATGCGCAGACATGACATGGGGCTAGAACCCAGAGCAGTGCACTCCCAACCACTCAGCCACCAAAGCAAGTAGGCACAGCATGAAATAAAAAGTGACTGTTCCACTATGGCTTTAATCTATCTCATCTGAGGCTGCCATGGTCATCTCCCTCCTTTCCTTCCCTTGGTCACCCAGCTGAGTCTGAGGAGGATATCAGTTTAGTTTAGGCATGGCCCTGGAACAGCTTTTGGATAGGCTTTTTTTACATGGATGTTCTAATGATCTCACACTAACCCCACTGACATCAGCTGTTCTGCAACTACAACCAACCAATTGTATCTGCAACAGCAGGTAATGCATTGCATAACACTCCCTTTATGTGCTCTCTGATTAAATTAGTGCTTTGCCTAAATAAAATTGGAAAAACTGGCATACTTTCTATTCTCAGGATGCCAGTGCATTTTATTGCACAGAGTGATTAGATACCTAAGGCAATTGACCTGTACAAAGTGGGGTTTGTCAAAAATAGAACAGAAAGGCTTTTGGAGAACTCATTACCCTCCCTGGGAAAGCAGTAATTGGAAATGCTATTTTAACTAGCTACCTAGTTCATTTTAATATTCAAATACTAATTCCTCCTTTCACTGCTATAAATGCCTTAACTACCTTAGTTATCAGCTCCTTAAATCTAGCACATTTGTTCTCAGCTATTAACATGTATCTTGCTGCTGCTAAGCTGTGCTTAAAATTGATGGGGGAACTCTGCACTCATATGCCTCCACAAGAAGAAGCCCATATGGTTGCTACTCCTCCAACATTATGCCCAGTGATTTGTTTCATTCAGGATCTCAGCTGATAATGCAAACCATTCAGTATTGTGGGGATGGCTTTTGTTCCCATGAAGCCTATGAGCCTTTCTGTCTTTGGCCATCAGTGACAACTGATAGGGTTAGAGACACCAGCAGGTCTGGAGGTGACCTGATGTATCTATCACAAAGCCACAAGAGTTGGGGTTTTCCACAGGATATGAGGTAGGACTGAAGGGTAACATTTGCACAGGCAGGCCAGCCATGAGGCCGGGCTCTTATCTTAATATACGTCAACCTCATTCTCTGAAATACTGGTCTGCTGGGGATGGTTCACCACAGCTAAAGTACCGAAATAGCAGGAAGCCTTGGCCAAGAGTGAGGTTACCAAACCTCCCCACAACGCCAGCCTTGGCACCATGCTGCAGCATAGTTATTTCATTCTGTACATCAAGATTTCTAACACAGGGCTTGGATCCCATGAAGTCACAGTGACTCTTTTGGGCGCACCCATATGTCATTAGTTAGCACATGCCATGTAGACGAGGCCCTCAGTACCATCGGTTAGTGGTGGCCTTGGCAGTGCTGGGGTAAGGGTTGGACTGGATGATCTTAATGGTCTTTTCCAACCTGGTTTATTCTATGATTATAAAAAGGAATCAAAATGTCAAGCAAAGGGAACAAAGAAAATAAATATAAATAATTTAAATAAATAGTGAATAGAAAAAATAGGCAAAAGAGGATGTAACAAACACTGTATGGCTGAGGCAAGAGAACAAACCCAGCATTTACTTGTGGTATTCAAATACAGAAAAAAAATGCACTGATTTCATTGAGAGCAGAATCATGCCTTGGCTTGATGCCTGTGAGATTGCAAGAAAAGATATCTATGTTTTCCGCCTGAAATAACCCGTGCATACTGAAAATTCACTACTTTTCACTTTCGTGAAAATTGTTGACTGCCAACAATTTTTTTTATATCATATGGAGGGATTTGTGGTTTCTGAATTGTACTTCAGGGATGTTTGGTGACCTATGAAACCCTCCCATGTTTCTGACACTACCACAGTGCAGGTCTCTTCAAGTAACACAACCGTCTGCCAGGACTTCCTCCAGTTTCAAGGGCTTCAGTGGTCACAGAAGTCATATCAAAACCAAGTAGCTTCTCTTTTCCCAGATGAGTAAAGTCTTTAGGCTTATTTATGAATATTAAGATTTCTGTATTCAAACTAGATCATTAGTTTTCTTTGAGGAGTCTGTAGACTGTTTTAGCCTTAAGAAGTAACTAGGAAAAGCAAGCATATGAAGAGCAGGCTTCCTTCCATGTACCACATGAAATTACTCCTCCTTTGAAAGAAGTGTAGGATGCCCGCACATCTGAACTGTTCAAAAGCACTGCAGACATAACCAGGAAGAAAATCAAATCAAAACTAAACTGGAATGAGAGGGAGAGAGAAGGATTTATGAGGAGAGGCAGCTCTCCTAGCAGGTCAGCATTATAAATAAGACAAGAGTAGGATACATTGAAACAAGTCCTGTCACTGGATTTCACCAAATTCATTGTTGAATATTGGATCCTTCATTAACAGATTAATACCCTCTCAAGTAACTGAGAATGTCTTTTGTCTCTCCTCTGTTCAGCCATTAATACAGCAGAGGCAAGCACATCCTTGACAGAGGATTTCTTGTTAAAAGTATTTTAGACTGTGTATGGTTCAGAGCAAGGGCTGACTCCCAATATCCCCTCCCTCGTGTGAAGTCACTGACAGCTAAGCTACAAACTCAACTTGTGGTTTTGAGTATTCAATGAATTTTTGTTTCACAATACTTCTTCACTTGAAGGAGAGCGAGCACACAGCAACCCTGGTGCTGAAGGCCTTTCACTCCAAGCTAATCACAGTGTGTGAGACCTTGTACAAAGAGCAACAGCACTCACCAACCCTGCAGCCTTCTAAGTAAGATCCATACCTGAGAACATGGCCTGGCTCTTTGCTTCCTTGTAATTGGTAGTATTTTCTCCAATTCGCAGGGAAGGGAGAAAGGCAAAGCAAAACTGAACTATTAACATTTAATATTTTGACAACAAGGTATGACTGTTGCTCTTGTTTTTTTCAGCTGTTCAGATGGGCAGCTAAATGCAAATATGACTTTTTCAAGTAGTCCTACCAAGGTGTCAATTAGCTGTGAATTTGCAGATTCAAAGGTTTTAGTTATGGACACAAACCCACTTGTGGTTAATGTATTTAATAATGTGCTGCACTACATTTCTAAGAACTGCTAAAAGACTGCAAATGCAGAAGGTGGCCTGTTTTCTCTCCAGCTAATGCCAGTTGTCCTAAACTCAAGGAAATATACCACTCCCTTCAACCCTGCCCTTTCCAAAAACTGGAGCTGGTTGGACTAAATGTTCTTTAAAAGTCACTTCTGACACCAAACATTCTGTGATTCTACAAAATCCTACCAGTAGTCCAATCTTCAACATAATTCACACATTCTAAATATTAAATGCTCTGAAAATAACACAGTCTCAAGCCCTCCTTCACAAAGCTTTCTTCCCTGTTTACTGGTGTTGCCTTGCAGTGCTACAACCCACACAGGTCTAGCTGTCCCAGTGAATCCCTACATGCATCCAGCTAGTGTAAATAAAGAGACAACCAGGCTGCAAGACACATATTTTGAATGAAGTTTCCCCTGAAGAGCTATCAGCTTCCCCTTATCCATTTTTCTGTGCTGGTTGGCGCTGTGAAATGAAGAGCCGATTTGGTTTGGCTTTTGGCCATTTGCATAGGTCTTATTAATGAGACTTTGGATTTATTTAAATTTTGTTTCCAGCAGACTCCACAGCCAGGATAAACCCTACTTGTGCACACGCAGTGAAGCTCAGTGACAAGCCTGTACTTGTACAACAACTTCAAAGCCAAACTCATCTGGCAACCTGGGCACACCCGGTATTTTACTCCTCCAATTTCTGCCACGCACCACCCACTGTGGATTTACAAATTGATGTCTAATTGGCAAAAAACTAAGTAGACACCTGGATTCCCTTTTCTGTGTTGTGAAAGAACCTCTCTCCTAACTGGTTGTCCTACATCTTGCAGGCACTTTAGATTTTATCTGGACTGATGGATTTTGCCAGCTGAAGTCCTGCTAGCACAGGTTTCTGACAGTGGTTTTGAAAAGCTGCCCAGAAAAGGAACTTGAAGCAGCCACGGAGAGTGAAGATAGGAGATGTGGCAGTGCTATCTAGCGAGACTTACACAGTTTAACACAGAGAGTAAAAAACTGCACTCAGGTGGGACAGTCTGAAATCTGACTTTTTAAATTTAGTTTATATCAGGTCA